AACAAATGTATATCCACATGTTGGCGATAGTAAAAGTATTTTCATTGTGGTGTACATTTTCGGAGGAGTCGGGTGTTAGTTTTTGATATGGGTAATCTGCTGCTCTGTGCAGTAATATTGGCTATTCTTGTTATCTGTTTTTCTGTACTAAACTAGAACTCACTCCGTTGATTCCGAGACGGAACAATTGCAAGGCATAAGGTATCCATTTAATATTTAAAGTAATGTAGATATTGGAAAATCACTATAATTAGATATAAGAAGATGTGGTATGAGTGCCAATGAGACAACTCTCCATCCAAGTCACAATTTGTAAAAGTAAACCATTATAGGTCAAAGTACGGCCTTCAACACTGAGCCTTGGCTCTCACCGAACAGCAAGCTATAAAGGGCCACAAAAATGACTAGTGTAAAACCATTCAAACATAACTTTAACTTTGTATCTAATTGTGACAATGTACGATGCATACAAAGACTTTCGATAAACATGCAACGTAGTGATTCTGCAGTCAAAACAAAAATATATTTACGTCGAAAGGAGTAGGGGCAATAAGGCCCTTATTTGGCCCAAATATTACTGCAAATTTAAAAGTTATCATACATATTCTTATATTTGTCCAAACTAGACTTAGGTACAAGATATTCAGAAAATAAAAATAAATTTCACATTGAACGAGTTACCATGGCCACAAACTATGACAAAATTTTAAGTAAAGTTTAGATTGGAAAAGTATGTGCGCACCCAAGAAACAACTTTATATTTAGTGATATTACGTCAATAGTTATAACAAAGCTTCTCTTAAATTATTTTGTTGTTTCTTGGCTGCGCACGATGCTTCCACAATGGAAAAAACGACAGAAAACTGCATAAATTCTGCATTTTTCATTGTTTTTGTGAAAACGATACAGATTATGACGTAATTGTGACGTCATCAGATGAAAATCTTTATATTTTTCATTTATATTTCATGACTCTATATTTCCAAACATTATGTGCCAATTTGAAATAATTGTCAAACATTTTATTTTCTTGGGCCAAAACCGGGCCTTAATGCCCCTACTCCTTTCAAAATAGAACGCGAAAAGAAAGGATCTTGTGTATTAATTTCAATTCACTACTGATACTCATGATTTTACTTTTTTTGAAAGGGTATTTTATTAAGAAGCCAAAATGGAACACTTGATTAAATATATCATTTTTATCGCAAGACTTATATGAAGATGATGAGCATACGGCAATCACATTAACAAATTATCGCGAAGAAGTTGGAATAAAATTCTGTGAATTTGGTAAATATTCTTTTATACATGTGTATGTCATATTTGTATAGTATAAAAATGCTGATCAGTTTTCCCTTTTAAAGTTTCTATTTATCTATTATAGTTTTCAAGATAATAGGGAATAGAAATTCAAAAAATGGTAAATATTACCATTAAAGGGCAATAACTCCAATAACGAGGATTTCGGCTATTCGTCTTATTTGTAGATCTGGTCTTGCAGATAATTTTTGCTATTCACAGTTTCCAACTATCTCATCAAGTTTTTAAGATAACAAGCAATAATGCAAAAAGAAGGTGAAAATCGTCATTAAAGGGCAATGATTTAAATAAGAAGTCGACTAACGATTTTGGTCATTTAATGTATTTGTAAAATTCGTCGTATAAGGGCAATAACTCCTATAAGAAGTCGTCTGACAGTTTTGGGTCGCCATGTTTTCTTTTTCTATAGCGGTTTTTGAGATAATAGACAAATATTGCATTTTACCCTTATGTTCTATTTTTAGCCATGTCTGCAATATTTGTCGGTAAGCGGAGTTATCGGACATATTTTTAACTAGATACCCCACTGATGTGGCCAATATCAGTTAAATTTGGCCCAGTAGTTTAGAGGAGATGATCTTTGTAAAAGTTAACGGATGACTGACGACGGACGCCAAGTGATAGCTAAAGCTCACACTGGCCCTTCGGGGTAGGTGAGTTTTAAAAACCAACACTGTTAAGGGACACTTATTATATATATTGGGAGGAGGAATATTTTGGAAATGAATTTGATGGCCTGGTAATATAAGAGTTAAAAAAAACTTTGCGCAATATAGGATGAAAATGAATAAATTGCCAACCCAATGCAGGAAAATAAATGTATACCAAAGTAAAAATAAATTAATAAGCTAGACTCGAAAAAGGTGGAACTGAATATTCCGTCGGAAATAAAACTCCTCCTACCCTTCCTCCTTCCAAGAATATCAAATGGTCGTCCAATAATTGCTATACCAAATCATGATAAAATATGGACGATCTTCAAAGATAGACTAAATTTCTTAAATCTTACATGATCAAAAACCGTCACTATCAGCAAATAAACACTCGTTTATATATTCGATTAATTGAAGATATGTATGCTCGCCAAAGAACCACTACTGGGCTGGTGGATGTTTAATTTCCGATGGTATCATAAGCCCATTAGTCAGCATTTAGTGTTGACATGGAAAATCTTATGGTCATTTTCTATAAATATAGCCTGGTATATTTCATGATTTTTTTTTTTGTTTTTTTTTTTTTATGAAATGTTTAAACAAACTGATCATTCTGATATTTTTCGACTTATACTTTTACTAGTAACAGTTATTTTTTGTTTTGTTTTTTGTCTTACTTTAGTTTATATTTACAATGTTTCCATTTATCCAGGTTGAGATGCTACCAATCGTTTACCTGCTATTGTGCACTGAAACAGTTTTTGGTAGTGTCCCAGTGTCCGAATTCTTTTCTTTTGGACAAAGTGTAAATGATGCAATGCTTTATCCAAACGATGACGGGTCATCACCGGTTCAGAACATATCAGTGGTATTTGAATTCTTCTCCGAACAACGCAAGCAGCTGTTTGTAAGTCATACAACTAAGATGTGGTATGATTGCCAAACTATCCATTTGAGACCAAATAACGAGAGTTTTATTACATATAGGTCACTGTACGGCCTTCAACAATGAGAAAAAATCATACCGTATAGAAAGACCCCGTCATGTCCAAATTAGAACTTATTCAAAAGAGAAAACCAATGGCCTGATTTATGTTAAAGACCATAATCGGAAAAAAAGAATGACAGACAACAAAGCAACGACAACCACTGAATTAAGGCCTTAATGTAATAGTAAAATGATTATAATAGTAGGCTTCACATAAACGATTTTCTCATTAGTTGAAAAAATCGATTTTTGGAGCATGATTGATATACATATCCAAGAGTTACAAACTTTAAGTCTTTCAACAATACATCGATATTTTCTTATATATATATATACAAATTTTTGCACCTCGTGTTTGTGGTATACCATCTTTTCCACAAGTTTAATGTTTTCTGTTTGGTATTAAATTAATATTAAGATCCATTTTGTTAGATCTGGTGATCAATTTATTTGGCAATCGCCAATGGCAGTCAGCAGGGTTTAAGAACATCAGTTGTTCGACCTGTTAGTCAAATGCGTTTTGTTAAAATAGACTTTTTCACTTTTTTTAGTCGTTTGGAAATTGTTGTTTGTGCTGTATTTAGACCCCTCTACCACGAAATTTGTTTTATATGCACACGTATAAAAATTGCGGTTTTTTTCCAATGCAATCATAGGTTTGAACGTTGTTTTCAATTTAGACTTTTATATATTTTTTCGTTTGGGCTTGTATTATATTTTCCTTCGGGTTTATATGATCCGTTCATCCTATTTCGACTCTTTAAAATTCAAGAGTCTTTCCTAAATTGAGGTAAATTATATGGCCTTCCAAACACCGTTTCGATCCCTAACATCACTGAAGAGACATTAATTGTCGAAATCCGGATATGGTGTACAAATTTTTGCACCTCGTGTTTGTGGTATACCATCTTTTCCACAAGTTTATTGTTTTCTGTTTGGTATTAAATTAATATTAAGATCCATTTTGTTAGATCTGGTGATCAATTTATTTGGCAATCGCCAATGGCAGTCAGCAGGGTTTAAGAATATCAGTTGTTCGACCTGTTAGTCAAATGCGTTTTGTTAAAATAGACTTTTTCACTTGTTTTAGTCGTTTGGAAATTGTTGTTTGTGCTGAATTTAGACCCCTCTACCACGAAATTTGTTTTACATGCACACGTATAAAAATTGCGGTTTTTATCCAATGCAATCATAGGTTTGAACGTTGTTTTCAATTTAGACTTTTATATATATATATATATATATATATATTGCAAACATCACATGATTTTCCATTTAAAAAAACTTCAAACAGACATATCTTATTATAAAGTTGTCTAAGATTTTAAAGACTCATTATGACTTCTTATGACATGTCTACAAACATGTGCAGCAATTTTCAGAGCTTTTCGATTTTCAAATTTTACCATTTACAAATTCCACTAAAAAAATGAAATTTACTGTTTGGATCACAAATTGAAACCATAATCAACCTACAGCAAAGGTTATCAAAATTTAATTATAAATGCAGATTAACTATTTTCCTTTGCATGTGGTCCAGTGTGATCACATTTGGATGAACAACTGCGAATCATTTTAATACTTTGGGAACTAATCGCTAGTTTCTGAACTGACAAACGCCATGCGAGACCAAACTGTTCATGTTAAAGTCATAAGAAACGAGTTTCTTGAAATTAAAATGTTTAGGAAATGTTGTCGTTCAAGTATATAAAACATACTCTTTTTGTAAATATTATGTATCATATGGCTTTGAATGAATGTGTGACAGATGCACAGAAAGCACGTTCTTGTAATTGTTAGACAAATGACATGTGGTTCACGGAAACCAGTGACTGAATGCTCTGGTGTTCCTCTGTTATTAGTATGTATGTGATTATATGAGTTTTAGATATAAACAGTTTTTTTTCGTTGCAGAATACATTGCAGATTTACAGTTTACTTATTGCAGTTACATTTTGCAGCACAATATTTGTGCAAGGTTTGGGCATCTTAAACTGATATATCATATTTCTACCTATTTTTAAACGTTGATTTTATTTTTAGGTGAATACAAACGGATTGATATCGTTTTTTACATCTGTTAGAGCATTTACCTCAGAACAGTTTCCTAAAATTGGCAATCGAATAGTACTTGCTCCTTTCTGGGCTGATATAGATACTAGTGGGTGTGGTTCAACCTGCGGTATATGGTATAGAGAATCAACAGAATTAGTCGACCTAAACAAGGCAACCTCAGAGATCCGGTACTTTTTTCCTGTAATGAAGCATTTTAGCGCAAGCTGGACGTATATTGTTACTTGGTATAATGTGCCTTTCTTCGGAGCCTCAACTTTGGGCATGAACAAGGTTAGTTTCCCATTACGTATTTAGTTAAAGGGCGACCATTGATATTTTGGGGCTGGGCGGGGACAAGAAGATTGTTAAAAAAATTTGAGCACAAAAAATTAAAATAAATATTCGAGCAGCCTGTACCCCAAAAATCGTTGTTCGCAATGATTGAATATAAATGTTCGTGCCCCCTTCCCCAATTCCCCCTCTCAGAATATCAACTGATATTCCCTGAATCTTAAACATTATTACCGTATGATCTCCAAGGAAAGATACAATCATGGAAAAGCAAAGATTTATTTACAGATGTCATAAGCTTGGGGTCGAGTGGTTTCTTGTTATCAACTACCACCTTTCCACTGTCTCTTAAATCAGCAATAACTTTTATTGATGACACGTTTTCGATATGACACTTTTGTGCTTAGTTTGACCGGCAGATTTAAATAATGTATTGTGCTATTTTTAATGATGAGGTACCAACAAAATATAGAACAGAACATAAAAAGCATTTGATTCAAACTTTGATTACTGATAACTATTTACATTCATAAAAACCAGATTTGAAGGCTGCATTATTCTTTAACAGTTATTATGCATTTTATTGCACAATATTGAAAAATTCCTCGCGGTTATTTATGATAAATAAATACGCAATCTGTCTGCCTTGGACCTTAAATCCAATGTGCCGTTTAAGATGAGTACCAAAGTCTTTGCACGCATAATAACTCTTTTAATAACTATCGAGGGATTATTTGGTGATCTCTTTCAAATCATAATTGAAATAAATATGTTTTCGTCGCTGTATAGGAATCACAATTTTCTACTTAGGTACAGAAATAAAATCACCAAGACCTAGATTTATTGCAGGGGAACACATTTTTCCCTTTCAATAAAATTGAGAATGGAAATGGGGAATATGTCAAAAAGACAACAACCCGACCAAAGAACAGACAACAGCCGAAGGCCACCAATAGGTCTTCAACGCATTTTCTCGCACCCGGAGGTGATCCTCAGCTGGCCCCTAAATAAAATTGTGTACTAGTTCAGTGAAAATGGACGTCACACTAAACTCCCAAAACATATAAATGAACTGAAATTTATAAAAACATACAAGACTAACAAAGGCCAGAGGTTCCTGACTTGGGACAGGCGCAAAAATGCTGCGGGGTTAAACATGTTTAGTGAGATCTCAACCCCCCCCCCCCCCCCCCTATACCTCTAGCCAATGTAGAATAAAGAAACACATAGCAATACGCACAGTAAAACTCAGTTTAAAAGAAGTCCGAGTCCGATGTCAGAATAGGTAACAAAAGAATCTAAGCAAAATGACAATGATACACAAATTAACAAAGGACTACTAGCAGTTACTGACATGCCAGCTCCAGACCTCAATTAAACTGATTGAAAGATTATGTCTTCATCATATGAATATCAAGTACAATCCCTCTCGTTAGGGGTTCAGTATCATACCATCATAAAATATATGAGAAGAACATAACCCGTATCATGCCAACAACTGGTTTTAGAATAAATGTGTTTATTTCCGATGCAAAGAACCTATGAGTGAATCAATATTAATACCAAAATATGCAATCCTTAATGACCTGACAACAGTATCGTAACTTTATCCTTTCCGAATAAGTCTGTTTAAAGGTTTGGTTAGCTTTTGAGGTGAATGCCGACATTTTTGTGCTTTGTAAATCTATTACCATAAAATATTGGATGTGAAATACCTGAACTTTTATCATAAATTTTGGTATTATGCTTCCCGTTAAAGATATAGATATCAAGATCCAGGAAAGGACAGTGTTCATTGTCAGTATTAGCTTTATTTAAAGTCAGTTCGGCAGGATAAATCTCTTTAGTGTACAATACTGAAGTCGTCATTATCAAGAGCCAATACATCATCTAAATATCTAAAAGTGTTATTACATTTTTGAATCAGATGTTGTTTCGATGGGTCTTTGCTGATTTTAGTCGTAAATTATAACTCATAACAATACAGAAACAGGTCCGCAATAAGTGGTGCACAGTTAGTTCCCATGGGAATTCCGATAACCTGACGATATACGGAATCTCCATAGCGAACAAAAATGTTATCTAGTAAAAATTCAAGGGCAGTTATAGTATCAAAGCATGTCCAAATTTCCTGCTCACTTTTGAAGAAACTTGATATACATACTTTGTTCATTGTTAATTTTGTTTTCTCCATTAATATGAATGAAATATTTGCCACTAAACGTTCAGAAAGCAAGATATAGATTTGGAACTTTTGAATCGTCTGTTACTTTTTTTTTTCTCCAGAGAAATATTTTTCAAGCTGTTTTGATTACAGACAGCAAAAACGCATTTGTAATTTACAACTACAATAAGATAGAATGGACCACAGGGACGGCTAGTCAAGGTAATGCTGATATCGGACTTGGTGGAATACCTGCTCAGGTATAGATAGTGTTATCTGATAAAAAGGTTTAGATTATTAGACGAGTTGATATCCTGTAGCCACGAACAAAAACACTATATTGTACAAAACGCAATTATATGACGTCAGTAGTATAATAAACATTTAACAATCGGTCTGTTTTGCTAAATAGAAAAAAAAAAACAATTTAAAGAAATGATTCGAAAGACTATTTGTTTTATAAGGTATGACTGTCAATGAAACAACAATCCATCGGAGACAAAATGACGTGAAAGTAATCATATATTAAACTAGAGTGAAATAACCAGCCTAATCCTACAATTTGATTCTTGACAGGGGATATGAGCCTCTATACCCTGTCAACAAAACCGAAGATCAGAATGGTTATTAATGTTGAAATCAGGACACTCCAGTTTAATATAATTGTTGTTCCGTGTTCACAGGGGATATGGGCTCATATTCGCTCTCAGTGCCCTATATATATGTAGTCACTTCGCCTAACGGCTCAGGAGATAATAAACACTGACAGGGAATATTGGCCCATATCCCCTGTATAGATCTCGAATAACATATAATATAGGTCAGTGTACGACCTTCGACAATGAGCAAAGCCCATACCGTTTTGTATACTTTTATATTGTTAATGTTAACATTAAAAACTGGGGGTTAAGCCAACCTGTTTTATTAATTTCGTCCAAGTTAAATCACTTTCCATTGTTAATATTTGTGACAACATGAAATAAAAGTCTTTATAAATTTGTTCTGTATATATCCATGTTTCATACATTTTTGCAATGAAAATATTACGTTTAGCGAATTCTGAGATATCACTGCAAAATACGCCAGAGAAAATAACCATCATGAAAAGGAAAACTTACAACTGGAAAAGAAAAGTCGTCCCGTTTTCATAAAAAAATTTGTATGAAAATTAGGAAGGTTTAAAAAGACAGTTCACAATTTAGTTCAAATGGATAAATTTCATTTGTTTTTTTTTTTTTTTTTTTTTTTTAAATATGAATTTTTTTATACAGATATAGAAAATTCTACAGGTATTATAGAAAAAATGAATATAAAAATGTTTCTGTGTGTTTGTATAAATAACGTAATAATAGAAACTCATAATACAAATGTAGTAAAGACCAAATATGTGACAATAAAGTACAGCTAATCCTTATCTGAATATAAATTATTTAGCGGTAACAAAAAAGCCAAAAACCAAAAGCTTTTTTCAATTGTTTGCATAACATATCAGTGTGAATATTATCCAAGAATTTAATGCATTTATCACACAAATGTTTTTCCTCATCGACATACCAAATACTTCCCGATAGACGTGCTTCCAAAATTAACATATTTACAGTTTTATTTGGTACAAAGCTAAATGAAAATAACACTTTAATTTGTCCAGTCTTCCGATGCGTTTTTCTAGATTTACAGTTTGTCGAATTTAATTTCTTGCTATATACATGTATTTCGTTTTCAAAAAAATAATATGAAAGCATTTCTGGTTAAATTTTGGGGAATATGGTACAAGTAGAATCAAGTAATCATATCATTATTTGTTTATTTGGTTATATTTTTTTATTCTGTAGCGTTGTCATTTTCTGTTGATATAAACATAAATATTAAATTTTTTTCCAAAAATCTACTATACATTTCAACCAAATTAAATTGTAAAAATTGTAATATATGTTCACATCAAAAGAAAACAAAAAATTGTAATATATGTTCACATCAAAAGAAAACAAAAAATTGTAATATATGTTCACACCAAAAGAAAACAAAAAATTGTAATATATGTTCACATCAAAAGAAAACAAAAAATTGTAATATATGTTCACATCAAAAGAAAACAAAAAATTGTAATATATGTTCACATCAAAAGAAAACAAAAAATTGTAATATATGTTCACACCAAAAGAAAACAAAAAACATCTGCAATTATGAACAATTTTAAAACAAATATAATTCAGACGATTCTATGTCTTTCGTTACATTGTTTGTTAATATTCCAACGATAAATGCCTTCAAGATAATTTTTATAGCAAATCTGTTATTTTATGATATAGATAGCAAAACAAATTTAAGTGACGAATACTTTTTTGCATTACACTGTATCTCATCAAGAACGCTAATTACATTATTACATTTGAAAGTCAGAAATGCATAAAAACGTAAAAACGTCAGGAGCTAAATGACCAAAGGCAAAGGGATATTATACAATTATAGCCTCTGTATAAGGTCGATACGAGGATATATTGACCTAAGTGAAGCATATGGAATGAGGACGAAGTCCGAAGTCGATATGCTTTTCTAGGTCGATATAACATCGTATTGACCTCAACCAAAGACTACAATTGTTATATTATTAATCAACAACTGTTGCATGAACAATGTAAAATTGTTGATTTTACTAAAATGTATTTTAGTAACATGCTGTATGCCCTGTGCAATATACTGTTTTTGACCTACGAAAAGCTAAACACAACAGTATATGCGTGCAAACTGAATAAATACAAATGTACATATGGTCAAGTTTTAACGAATCATAAATCCTTGAAAATTTTTGATTAATAATATAAAAAGATTAACCAAATTCATCTAAGGTCAACTTTGTCCTAAGGAGTTGGAATCTTAGTTTCCTTATTTTTTAACGGTGAATTTTGGAGCATTATCTTATAAATCATGACCGTACCATCAATGGTATCGAGCTTAGTTTGTAATTATCTCTGGCAAAGTTGATCGTAGACGGTTTTCTCTGTATTCACTGGTAATAAATTACAAAAACGTTTTGCAGATACAAAAGGAATGTTGTCTCTTAAGCTTGCAGAACATCATATTGCAGGTTAAAACTGGTACAATTTGTTATTCTGCTCTGGACAATATTTACAATTATAGCCTTTGTATGAGGTCAATACGAGTATATATCGACCTGAAAGAAGTATATGGACTGAGGACGAGGTCCGAGGTCGATATACTTCTGCAGGTTGATATATTATCCTCGTATCGACCTCTAACAAATGCTGCAACTGTTTTATTATTATAGTCAATCAGCCAGAAGTAGTGCTCCAGTTTATTTGATTGGTTGCTTCGATTGTGTTAGATATTCTAAAAATAACCGTGCAGTATCACTTTTCTAAAAATAATATATCACTTTTTATCACTTTTCTATCTGCTGTATTCAGTCTACCTTTGAAAATATAGTCGAACATGTGACTATTTCTAAACGAAACCAATTAGTTAGAATATACACATTAATGATATTAAGGAAAATTGTCCAGAGCAGGATAACTGACACAATCGAAGCAACCAATTAAATGAAGTTGTGCAATACTTCTGGCTTATTGGCAATAATAAAATAACAACTGAAGCATTTGTATGAGGTCGATACGAGGATATATCGACATAAAGAAGTATATCAATATACTTCTTTCAGGTTGGTATATCCTCGTATCGACCTCATACAAAGGCTATAATTGTATATATGATATTAGTGCAATAACCCTATATATGTTGTTTTTATTTTATTGTATATTCTATTCTTCCAGTTACATTTGTTTTTCATTCACCATGGAATTTGCTTCCACTTCTATTCTTCTTAAAGAATTTGCAATAAATAAAAGGAGATGTTGAATATACGACAACGAAACAGCAACCAGACGACACAAACCATTATTAGAGAAAAATACATATATATCATAATAATATACATTTTAATATAGAAGTGAATAAAGATACGTACGGAAGTGAAAGTTGTCAATTGGTAGTATATTCTACACAATTCTAATGAATAGATAACGTATATTACCATTACGTACGTCAGATATCAAGAATTCTCTATTATGGAATTTTGCGACGATTTGTGCAAGCAGATATACATGTATACAAGAGCGATAACAATACTATGATTATCTTATAGATGATAATGGCAAGCATCGGAAGTATGATTGACGCAAAGTTGAATCATCTGCACGACATACATTGAATTATGTGATAAATGTATTAGTTCCTTTGGTGAATAAAGATATAACATGGTACTTTCTATTGTAGGACATGCTTTTCTTTACGGAAACATCCAATGTGAAATAGTTTGATGAACACATATTTTGAAAATATATTTTATTTATTTTTGCATGTGCATTTAATTAATTTTCTTTAAAGGTTGGTTTCAATATGGGTGACGAAATTCACTACTATTCCGTCGAAGGTTCACGAAAATCCGAAATTATCAATTTACCTAATCTATCAAACGTGAAATATCCAGGAAAATTTGTCTTCAGAGTAGATTTGAGAGATATAGAACCTGCTCCAACACCTGGTAGGTATTATATAACATAGAAAGCATTTGTAATGGGAGACATTCGATGTGTCTACCAAAACAAAATCCCGTAATGGGTGTTAAAGGACGGCCATTTGATATTCTGGGGAGTGGACAGTCAGGAGGATTTTTCCGGATTGATAATTTATTATTATCCGTCGCCACGCATGTTTATTTTTACCGCGGCTTAGTCGCGCAAAAAAATATTTTCACTTTTGTACACATTTGGTTCCTTCATTATTCTTGCAGGATATTCATTTCCATTCTGTCTTGTGCCAAGTTAATAATTTTAAGTTTTTACCAGGCCAATTAATTCATTTTCAAAATCCTCCTTCCAAAAATCAAAGTGTCGTCCCCTAAGTAACTAGTTAATAATTCACTTATACAAAGGAAGAACATATATTGAAGTGTGTCGGACTTCTGTGTTTATCAGTTCAAAAGAATAGCAAGTTTACTTAATGCTAGTTAGTAAATTAGAGCGTACAATTCGTTCATATATTCGTCATCGAACACAGAAGAAAAAGTTATCTAAGAGACGTATTTTTTACAAAATAGATGCATGTTATTTCTCATATTTATCCTCTTGTTTCTTTTAGATACTGATCAATGCTTCATAAAGGCTGCAGACATTGTATTCGTTGTAGATTTATCTCTCAGTATAGACATGCATGATTTGAAAAATTTAATATCTGATGTTATATCAAAGCTGCCGATTAATGCTATGGAATGTCAGATTGCAATGAAATCTTTTTCAACATCAGCAAAGACAGACTTCCGTTTCAAAGACCATAAAACGAAAACTGAAATCATCGCTCATATTGCCAAAATGAACACAGCTAAAGGTGTTTCAAATCTAAAGGATGCATTGAGTTCTACCATGTAAGTTTGAAAAGAATGACTATGCGTTATTTAACGTTATATATATACACAATGCAAGTAAATGCATTACACAACGGTTTAAATACATATTTTTTATAGATTGATTTCCTCTTTTTGATAGTGAAATTTCAGTATGAGTGTTTCTGATGAAAGCTAACTTAATGTATAAAGTGTTCTTCTAAGTTATGCGAACAATTTAGATTGGTCTATATTCTTTGGTGTTAAATAAAGCCCATTTTGATTGCACATTATATAAATAGTATTATTCTTTATAAAAAAACAAATTATCACAGTGATGCAAGTTCCCAGTGGTACTCTCCTTGACAAACAACATGTTTCCTTCCTATTGAACTCTCCTTTACAAACAAAATGTTTTCTTCCTATTGAACTCTTTGGTATTTTTCGCCTGTCTTATAGATATGAAACAAAATGCAAATTATCGAAATTAATTTTCTCTAAGTCACTAAGGGGCTTTTTAGAGCTAAATGTACGGAATTAATTTTGCTCGTTGTAGAAGGCCGAAAGATGACTTGTAAGTGTGCATTTGTATGTCGTATCGTCTTTATTGATAGTTGTCTTATTGGTAACAATACCATATCTCTTTACATTTTACATACTTTATTCCATTTATCATCAAAAGAGGATTTCGAATATTTTCAATTTACCCCACCACATATGTGTGCGCCTGTCTTATCAGGAACGTCGTCAGATGTTGCGTTTAGTTTAAACATGGTGTTTTGTGCTAGATGGATTTCGATATTTTTTGCAGATCTTTGATTATCTCCACTTAAATTTATAACTTTTCTAAAGTTAAACCGGATTACAGTTTGACATATATTCAAATATTTGTATTTTCAAGAGATTATTTGACATGAAATACTTTTAAATTAGTATTTTCTTATTGACAGGCGAATGTTCTCTTATAACGACGGTTCCAGATTGTATGCAACACGTTTCGTAGTCATATTCACTGATGGTTTGATGGTTGCAAGTAGCGAACTTAAAACGCAAGCAGATCATTTACTGGGCTTTTCAAATATGAAAGTTGCTACTGTTGGTATTGGTTCTTCTGTAAAACATGATCATCTTGAACGGATTTCTACAGACATAAACTCAATTCTTCGACCATCAGCAAATAGTATTTGGAAATATCTACAATCGTCCTTAGCTGTTCCTGGATGTCTTGGTTAGTTTCATTAATTGTCATGTTCCTCTAATGTTACTATTGGTTAGTTAACATAAAGATGCTTAAAATCTATATATTGTATTTGCGTGTGTTTATCATTGTCTTTGTCATTCTGTTTACACATTCAATTATAGTGCCTAACAAGATTTTGTGAGGTAGACGAAATTGTCCTTAAAACGATCGTATTGAATTTTGATGTCCCAGCAGATCGGACATATTTTGACTTTATTTACTGAATACTTTTTTGTTTACTTGGGATAAATTGTAAATATAACATTATAATGAGACTGAAAAATGTTTTTTGTCGTTAAGATAAACAATTATTTGACCTGGCGTAGCCGTACGTAAAATGTATTTCGGAATTTCTCTTCAAAAAATGGAAGAAAACGTCTTAATTGTAAACTTTCTCTTTTTTCCGGAATAGGCTATTAAAAAATAATTGATCTACTCTATATGTGGAAAATTTTGTGAAAATATAAGAAGTGGCAATTCTTACCTTTCATACCTTTAGTTTCATTGATAAAAAATAATATGGACTCGTCCAGTGACCAGTTTCAAGGTCATTTAAGTTAATGTAAACATCCATGCATGTCCTGATTTAATTAATATACGTGTATGAAAAAAAAATAAAAAGTTTGAAGGTAAACTAATAATAACTTAATCCAATCAAATTGCGTAAGATTCCATAACAATGACCGGTCCACATCATGATAAGTAATAGGGGTAAGCTGGATAGGGAGAAAATGACAGATATGTTAAGTTAATTTTTTGTAATAACGAATAAAAATGTGTCAACCAAAAGTTTGCTACAATTTCAAAAACATGTCGTTCTGTATAGGTATAGTTTTCGGATCTTTCATTTGCGTATTAAGGCAATAGAAAGTTTGGGCTTCAAAAATCTGCATAATTATTGATTTTGAGGCGAAAATACGCCCTTTTAAAACATTTAATGTTTCATAAATAAGACATGGATACAAAGTAAAATCATTTTTTAAAACACTGCAAAAAATTTATTCTGGTTGGTATAGTGGTATTGTCATAAAGTGCCATTGAAATGAACCGTGGTATAGCAAACATCGAATTCCCTCACAAAATGTTATCGCACACTATAGTATTAACATTAAATGGTTTGTTTACTTTATACACAATGACGTCAAACAGAAAAAAATTTATTGCACCATATGTGCATTTCGTAAAAAAGGGTGACCAATCTTCTTTGTATTTGTTTCACTAAGAGAATTGTTGAACTCCTCCAATAATTGGATATTGAAGGGTCTAAATAATAGGCATAAATGTGTTTTCATAAGTCAACATAAACAAAAGAATCCATAAAATCAAAATGTTATTTATTTAACAGTCTTGTTGAAGGCCACATGGATTTGTTTCAATCACAATATAAAACTCAAAAAGTTTATGAAACATTCAAATGAAATTCAATATTAAAGAGTCTAGCTATATTTTGTAATTTATCTATGTATAGTTTTTTTTAACCTTTTCTGTGTATTAATAGAATTATCGATCTTGTTCAAGAGGAAAAAAGCAAGACTTCAAAGTAAGCTAATTTTGAAGTCAAATACAATTAGCTGGTGATTATTGGTCTTTCATAAAAATATTTACCTTATATATATGAAAACACTTTTGGATAGTCCTTTATCAAAGAGTCCTTATTCATCAAATCTATTCAACTCAAGACAGCTTTACCTACAGTGTAGTGCGAGGCGATGAATGTACCAAACAACAAATCAGTGAAGCATCAGGACTTGGAAAATATACGTATTGACTTTAAAGAATTTTTAGGAGACAACTCTTTGTTCTTTGTGCATTTTATACATTCAATTTAATCAAATCAGATTGCCAAATATGGTGCATTTATTTATTATACATCGCTATTATACAACAAAATAAATTCACACATATACATTCTACTGTTGAATTCTAAGATATTGTTTTGCGGACTGTTTGTTGGTCATTTTCCTTTTTTGTGGTTATTTAAGTTTTCATTTGCTATAATATCGGTATTCCGAGAAACTACGAAATTCACCTATCAACCAGTCATGTTATATTTGTTTACTCTGTTTAGTTACATTTGGTTTTATTAGTGGTCAAGGGTCAAACATATGGTACGAAATTTGTATAAAAATAAATACTTTATATCTACTTTGTAGCCTGTGAAGTAGATTTTGGAGGTGAAATACGCATCCTGCTTGAGAATTCAGGATCCATAACAAAAGAACTCTTCCAAGAAGGAAGACAGTTTATATATACCTTCATCGAAGAGCTCACATCTTTCAATTTAACGAATGTAGATGTATCAGTGGATATATTCAATGAAGAAGTTATAGAGGCAATTCAGTTAAAAAATATTTCTGGAATGGAACGTAAACTTGGTGGACTTTCCATTATCGAATATTCTAGACATAATGTCAATCAATCACTGCTGCTACAACACATCATAGATATTGGGATGACTACATCGTCAAACAGTTTTATTATATTTATATCAAATGGCGTCTTCCTTGATTCCCATCTCATAGAAAAACTAAAACACTCAGTTGTAAATGAGACATCGATCATAGTATCTGTAGGTCTTAGCGTAGATACTGACTGGGATAATTTAGAAGATCTGGCATCATATGGCTATTTTGTGTTCTCAAGTGAAGATGCAACTCTTCTGGCACGTCATTTGAAGAAAGAAATGAAAACAACGACATGCACATAAATTTCATTTGACAAATTGATTAAACTGATTCTATCATTACAATCCAAGCGAGCACGAGGCTAACCATAGTAAAATACGGACTTTTTCATATTTAAATAATGATAAGCATCTTGTTTACACAACCACTCCTGAAACATTCGGTAGAATATGTTGTTATTAGTATTATTATGTTCCTCCTATTTTTATAAATTAGTTTTTGATTCAATGATTTAGTATAATTTGTTGCAAATTATTGGGTTTGTCGAACATTTCAAATTTGAAAATAATTTCAATATGTTCAATGTATTTTAGAGGATTTGGCATATAACATTCGTAGAACCTCCCATATGTACTGTTCATGGAAACTAAATGAAACGTATTTTGAATGCAGTTGCCGAAATAAGACGGAATCGATTAATTTTTTTCTAACAATTCAGTATTTTTAAGCGTGAAGACATTAGTTGATTCAAATATTTGATATGCTATGATAATTGTGTTTGCTCTCATGTAACTGTTTTACTGAACAACATAATATAAGGAGTTAAATTTGCATCTATTTCTCGAGACTGATTTAATTTGGAATAAAGAAAATAAAAAGAGATATTAGGTATACGTACATATTTTAGTATGCATCGATACTTTTATTTTGGCATTGCACAAGTCATGTCTTCTTTGACTGTCATTGACGTTAAAATACTAAATCCCTGGGATGTGTTTTAGTTGATTTTAGTCTCTGATGCATAATTTTTTATTATTAATTGTTTGTGGCTCTTAACTTGCTTTCAATAATTGGGAGTACTCTCAAATCGTACTTTCGTGTTAATTTGACCTGTTGATACAATTTATAATGCATTTTTGTTAATTTATGTTTACTTAATTAGTGTTATATCTCGTCTCACAATTTTTAATATATACCACATTTGAGCAATGTTTGGTATGACGATAAATTTTCACTTCTGTTCTCATACTATGAACAACAAAATTATTTATTTTGTGAAAGATTTTTCCGTACTCCATGTATACCTTACAACAAACTAATTTTTATTTACCTGTGTACGTTATTTTATTTGGCAGCATTTTGTCCAAGGTTATTGTTGTCTTTCTGATATTGCTTTACATCTTCCCCCTTTTTTATAAATTTTGTTTTTATATTGTGTCATAGATCAATTTTATTTGTTCAGTGTATGTTTACTTGTTTTTGTAAATATGTCTTTTGATTGAGTTAAGCCATTCCAATTGATATTTTATAGTGCATCTTTTTATGTTGTGATGTTACACTATTGTTTCAGGTTAGGTGAAGGTTGGCGCCTGTTCATACGTTTAAACCCGCTGCTATTTGTTTGCATCTGTCCTAAGTCAGGAACCTGTTGTTCAGTGGTTGACGTTTGTTGATGTGGTTCATAAGTGTTTGTCGTTTCTCGTTTTTATATTGATTAGACCGCTGGTTTTCCTGTTTGAATGGTTTTACACTAGTCATTTGTGGGGCCTTTTATCGCTTGCTGTTTGCTGTGAGCCAAGGCTCCGTGTTGAAGCACATACTTTGACCTATAATGGTTTACTTTTACAAATTGTTACTTGGATAGAGAGTTGCCCTATTGACACTCATACCACATCTTCTTATATCTATATAGCTAATTATGAGGACAAATTGATAGTGACTAAATACTAATGCATGTGTATTTGTTTCTCTTTCTTTTCCATCTTTTGTTATGTGTCTAGTCTATATACATGTGCCTAGTTCATACTTGTCTTTGTCACTGCGTATTTTTATTCATTTAAAAAAATAATGTTGACGGTAGATCTACCGATCTCTCTAAATGTGTCCAACAGATTAAAAATGCATGATACACTAAAACAGTGTTTTAGGTAATTTTTTTATGGTTGTATGAAAGATATAAAAGAGGTGAAAGTTACCAAGGAGACCTTTACGGAATATCTGTTTCACTAATGACGACGGATATGTTTAATTAGTTGTTACCACAATCCAGCCCTGTGACCTACCGAATTATCAACGGATTTGTACGTATATGAGCAACACGACGGTTGCCACATGTGGAACAGGATCTGCTTACCCTTCTAGAGCACCTGAGATCACCCCTAGTGGGCTTTGTGTTGCTCAGTCTTTAGGTTTCTATGTTGTGTTTTGTGAACTGTTGTTTGTCTTTTGGTCTTTTACTTTTTTTTGTAATGCGTTGTCAGTTTATTTTCGACTTATGAGTTTGAATGTCCCTTTGATATCTTTCGCGTCTTCTTAAAAACTCGTTAGTCGTAGAGAAACTGACGACGCAATAACAATGATGTTTGATGACATATAAGCATCTCTCTTTGGTAAAGTCTGTATGATGACGCGTTATTTCTGTGAATTGTTCATCATTTTCTTTCAATATCACCGTTCGCAAGAGGGTTTACTCATGTAGCTTTAATATAGGATACATTACACCTTATATATCAGGATAACTGATACCACTTCTAATACATTCAATTATGTACTGAGATACTAAGGGTAAAGATGCTTCTGAGTCTTTACTTTCTTAGCCTTTTTCCTTTGTTTGCTGCTATGTTTTTGACGAGATAAAAATAAAAACAAATAATTTAAAAAAATCAAAAAAACTGATATTTACCAATAGTAGAAAGAATTTGTGTACGTAATTTTAAATTTATTTGTGTTGTTGTTTTTATGAAAAGCATCACATTTTATTTCTTATGATTTGATGTACCGCTTAAAAATCCTGACATAAAAAGACAAAAACTTGATAATTGGTCTAAGCGATCATTACGTAATGATATCCTATTTATGATTCAAAATTGCAAGAACGATTTGTATAGTCAATCTTTAGATAACATGGATAAAGACTGGAACATTGGTTTCAATTTCTTGATAACTAATTGTGTATGTCTAACAAGATTTCGGACTTAACAGAGAGTTAAACTAATTATGTGTTGACTAGATGGCTGTCAAGCTAAACATGTGTTTAAATATCGGGTCTCGGATTCTCCTACCAATTTGCTTTTGAAGCAACTAAGCTTAATAACAGATCACCAATGAGCTAGCTTTCACACACCACGCTAGAACACAGATATACAACCTTAATTATTTTCCTATATTTTAATCTTATAATCGAACTTTGATGTAAATTTGGAAGAAAAAAGTTCTATATAGTGTTTTAAACGAGACAAAAAGAAGACATACAGACAACACAGAAACTTAGTTTCTTTTTCTACAAGATAAAAATGAGAAGATGTGGTATAATTGCCAACGAGACAACTCTCTACAAGAGACCAAATGGCATAGAAGGTAGCAACTATAGCTCACTGTACGGCCTTCAACAATGAGCAAAACCCATACCGTATAATCAGCTATAAAAGCCATCTTCCCGAATTATTTCCTGTTTACAATTTGTTTTAGATGGAAATCAACAAGGTTGCAATCAGAGTATACAATCTTTTAGATTGAATGTTGGTCCCAATAGAAAACATTTATTGATAGTAAACTGTAGTTTTTTATATTCAGTAATTTTTCTAGTCTTTTTAAACTTTTGTGTTTTGGCAGATCATTTTTAAAATTTTCACATCTTTACTATAGACACTCGGTTATTATAAAGGCCATATGCTGGTTTTTGAGATAGCGTTTATGGTTTTTAAATTGATAAGACGCTGTCTCATTGACTCGTTACTGAATGTCCTCCTACACTACATAAGTATGATTTGTTCTGATATAACATTACGTAATTTGCAAAATAGCAGTCTCTATAGAAAAAGAATAAATAAAAAGAATTATCATTTTTATTTACCAAAAAATAAATGTTGTTATGTTTGTATCAATATTTACTCAAATCTGCTGTAGCCTTATCTAAAGTGTCGACCAGTTAATCTGCAAATAAAAACACGCAATAGTTTGAAAATCTAAATTTGATACCGACTTGAGTTCCTGGAAGAAGATCTTAGGGTCCGGACAACAATGAAATAGAGCTACTTGAACTTGACTGTACTAATGGTTTCTGATTACTCCTTAGTAATTTCCGACTTTTCTCATTAATATTCATTAACAGGATTAATGCACCAACGACCAGCAACATCATCTTTTGAAATTAACCCAACATCAACCATAATCTGCGCATTAATACTGGTGTGCATAAATTAAAATGTATTGGAGTTTATTGTTTCTTTGTTATATTACCTACAATTCTTTTTGAAGTCATGCCAGTTTTAAAATTAAATATATTTCTAAATCTCTTACCGGTAGCTTTTAATCATACTCGCGACGCCAATAAGGTCTGTCATGATGATGCCAGTGTCCATGACCACCACCCCACCATGGTCGTCTTATCCATCCACCACCATGGTAACCTTGGGCTGATACTATTACACAAACAAAAATAGTTATATATACATTTTGATCACAACAGTGAAAGGACAAAACACATACAAATCCAATCAAAAATCATTTTAATTGGTTTATTTGTATTTCGCCAACACGTATTGAAATATGTCCAAAGCATCAAAACTTTTACACATTTTATGTATAAAAACATACTATTTGCATTTGAATTTGTTGCGCACATATATTTGTTTAGGAAAAATTAAAACAATAATTTATAAATTTTATGCGCCCAAAATATTGACAACTGAGCTGATGATACCCTCGGGGAATGATAGTCCACCAGCAGCGGTATCGACACAGTGCTGTCAAAAATGAAAACAACACAAATTGTATGCGTCCAAAGCGCTTTTCTGGATCTACCTTCATCAGGAACCCTCAAAGCCGGATATTTGAAAGCCAAGGATGTATAAGAACCAAACCAGTTAAAAAGCTAATGGCCAAAAAAACCTAAAATAATAGTCAAATCAATATAAGGTCAACTTTGACTGAGGGAGTTTAAACCCTAGTTTCTTATTATTAAACTGACAATTTTAGAACCGTTTGTCATAAATCATGTCAGTACTGAAGTGCTGCCTACTGAGCTGATAATACCCTCGGGGACCGATAGTCAACCAGCAGCGGTATTGACCCAGTGCTGTAAAAAAATGAAAACAACACTTTATAAATTGTATGCGTCCGAAGCGCTTTTCTGGATTTCAGCTGCAGATGATTTTTGGGACACAAAAACAATGAAATTTTTGGTGTGGATTATTGTTTGATTATGAAACCCTCTATCAACGGCAAAAAAAAGATATATGTCACGTTAAAAACTCCATAATTATCCTGATTCATTATATTTAACGATGCATCTCCATTCACCTATTTTAAAGTTAAACAGTGTGAATAAATGGAGATGTGAGGTATAATATATAATAGGTAAATTGAGCAACTGTCCTATCTAAAAAATAACCTAAATATATCAATAGGTCAACACATAGTCTTCAACAATAGACAAATGTACATATACTCTTATCGAGTATACAATGTGTTACTGAATTTATCAGGGACTTTTAATTTTGAAACTGTTAAAACATGCAGATATGACATAATACAACTGAAGAGGTTGACGTACAAAAAGAACACAAAAGAATATACAATAAAAACATATGAACAGGAAAAGCACCTAACTCTATAAAAACTGTAAAATAGATTACAGAAATACATAACATCTGACAATATTATTCAAACCAGTAAAGAATGTTTGTAGTTTAATAGTTCAAGATAGTTCAATGTTCTCAACATGCTCAAAGTGCTCAAAACCTGTTATTACAAAATATCCTATGTACACTTAAAATTCGCATTAAATAATCATACAGCAACGAGTTAACACACGACCTCCTGCAATATCTATAACCTATACGGAATTTCCTTTCAGAAAAAACAAACGAAAACTTTTAGTCGCGCTTGTAACTATAAATAAGCGAATTTATGTTTA